GCCCAGCAGGAGCTGGGATGATGACAGCCCAGTGCGATCCTGGGATGCAGAGTTCTGTTTCCTGTCTCCATCTCTGAGAAGCCAGCCCAGGAAGACCCTCTCGACACCACACGGCCACCTGCAGACAGACATCCTGGCACGAGGCCCATGGTCAGGCGCTTGGGCCCCAAGGGTGCCTCAGGCCATCAGGCCCTTCAGCGAGCGCTGGACCGGACCAGGCAGGGAGCAGGCTGGGTGCGCCCAGCCAAGGGGAGGCGCGAGGCACGGGGCTGCCATTCACGTGCGTTGTTCGGTTTTCCTCCTGCCCCCTCTGCACATAGCCCTCGCAAAGTCGCCCCACACGTGACTGTCTCAGAGGGTTTGGAGTCTTCCGTGGAGACTTGGGAAGCAGGGGGTGGGTGTCGTGTGGTGGCCGGCCTGGGGTGGAAGAGGGACAAGCCTGACAGATCTGAAGTGCAGAGACAGGCGTAAACTCCCGAGAGATGTGCGGAGACGACAGGAGGGCTTCAGGCTCCTGCAGGCTGGGAACGAGGACCCAACTGCTCTGACCTCAGTCTGGTGACGCTGGGGCCTTTCCATTCCCTTCTGTGTGCATGTCCTGGGGACGCAGCTGGCCAGGATTATTCCTCCCATTTCACAGATGAGAAAACTGAGACTCAGAGGAAGGGACTTGCCAGAAGTCACATGTTAATTGATTCATGCTAGATCCGTAAATCCCTGACTCCAGCTTCCAGAGTTTGGGAAAGCTGAGCGTCCTGTTCGCTCCCCGTGGGCCGGGAAGATAATTGGGTGTAAAACTAGCTGGGGTGGACCATCTGAAATCTGAGGGTTGGAAGGGCCTAGAACCTGTAGCTACACAGAACTAGGTCTGAATTTTCAGCTCTGCCACTTACTGCTGTTTTGACCGTCCAGAGAAGGTGGAAGGCACATCGGCTCTGTGCATTGTGGGCTGACATTCCATGTCTTCAAGGAGGAGGCAGCCCCTGAGAAGGACTTGCATAAGAGATAAGATGTGGCCACACAGAGAGAGGAGGGGGAGGCAAGCCGGGCGAGGACAGCCAGGCCAAGCACAGGGGTGGGGCAGGGGGAGCCTGAGGCTTGAAGGAAGTCTTGTTTGCTGACAGTGCCTTGCATGTGGGGTTGGAGCACCAGGCAGATTTGAGCCAAGACAGGACCCACGAGATTCGAGGGTGGGGAGGGGCTGGGACTTCTGAGGTTTCCAGCTGGGACCTCGAGGCTCCAGGAAGCTGAGCCCCAGATTCAGTGAGATGCCTGGTATGTAGCAGACCCTCTGTAAGCATCTGGGGAAGGAAGGAAGGCAGGAAGGCAGGAAGGCAGGAAGGCAGGAAGGCAGGAAGGAAGGAAGGCAGGAAGGCAGGAAGGCAGGAAGGAAGGAAGGCAGGAAGGAAGGAAGGCAGGAAGGCAGGAAGGCAGGAAGGCAGGAAGGAAGGAAGGAAGGAAGGAAGGAAGGCAGGAAGGCAGGAAGGAAGGAAGGCAGGAAGGCAGGAAGGCAGGAAGGAAGGAAGGCAGGAAGGAAGGAAGGCAGGAAGGCAGGAAGGCAGGAAGGCAGGAAGGCAGGAAGGCAGGAAGGAAGGAAGGAAGGAAGGCAGGAAGGCAGGAAGGCAGGAAGGCAGGAAGGCAGGAAGGAAGGCAGGAAGGCAGGAAGGAAGGAAGGAAGGCAGGAAGGCAGGAAGGATTGATTGAGAGCTGAAGTCAGGAGCCTGAGGACGCGCAGTCAGGAGAGCTTAGAGAGGAGACCACTCCTCCTGCAGAGGATGGGGAGAGGGCCCGGAGGGGTTGGATCTGTCGGAGGTGGGCAGTTACGGTGCCCAGGCAGTGCTGCGTGTGCCAGGGAGAGAGACAAGGCGTCCAACCTGTGTCAAGGGATTTGTCAGGTACTGTCCTGAGCTGAGGTTGGAAGAGGGAGGGGAGAGCATAAAGGCCCTTGGTGCCTGGGCAGGGGATGGTGGAGGAGGGAAGTGCGTGGTCTAGTGGGGCTGGTCACCAGCGGCTGGGGTGGGTGAGTGTTCCCAAAGGTGAGGCCAGAGCAAGACCACCACCTGGGATCCAGTACAACTGCTGGCTCTGCCTCACAGGACCATCTTCCCTGATGCCACACACGGTGTCTCAGTGCAGCGTTTCGGGGAAGGAAGAAGAAAGAGCCTTTCCGCGGCTGCCCACTGGGTGCTGGTGGTGATTCTGCCACATCTCCAGGTTGCCACACAGTGACACCTGTGGATCCCACTGCGTCTCATGCCTCGGTGGCAGCAGCAGGACCCAGAGCGGGAGGTAGGAAGCCCACGGGCAGGCATGAGGCTGGCAGGCGGCTGGAGCATACACTGTTATGTTGGTCGCCAGAGCTTCAACAAGTGGCCAAAAGCTGTGGAGATTGGAGGTGGAGATGGGAAGTGGCACCTAGGAGGGGCTGCGGCTGCAGCTCCGTGCCGCTGGCTCCCCAGCGCCTGTCCTCGGCAATTCCCCTCCTCCCTCTCCCAGGCTGGCAGTGGTTCCCATCTGCAGGGCACCTGCAGGAGTCAGCAGAGCCTTATGCACAGGCTTGCAGCTCCCTGCCTCAGGCCCTGCTGGGCCCCAGGTTTGCTGCTGTGAGTTTGGCCAGGCTGGGGTGTACGAGGCTTGAGGTGCCCACCAAGTCCTCACCAGCAGAAGAACCCATGTGGGTGGCCAGTGGGCAGAGGAGCTCTCAGTATGGCTTGGATGGCAGCGTTTTATTAATGACAAGCAGTGACAACAGCAGCAATGATGGCTGCCACCCACTGCGTGCCTACCACATACCAGGACATGTGTCAAGCTTTGGCAGATGGCAGCTCACAGAATCCCAGGTGGAAGTAGGGGCACTCCTGAGATGAAGGCCTCCTGGCCCTTGGTGGGAACTTCTATGGCTCCACTCCACTGCCCTGACCCCTGATGCCTGGGTCACGGGCCCGGCCCGCGGAGCTCCTGCACCGAGCTGACCATCAGGCTGCAGGCCACGTTGGGGAACCACTTGGCTCCTGGCTCTGGGCACACAGGCCCTCCCAATTGCCTCCATTGAGCTAACTCTGAAGCTCTGGGGGACCCAGGTGACAGGGCCCAGCAGCTCCCCAACTGTGGGGAAATACTCTGGGTTGGGGTCCCCCTCAGTTGTGTCCAGTGGCTGGGTGCTGAAGACACTCAAATCTGGGTTCAAATCCGGGTTCAAATCCCAGCCCCACCCATCCTGACGTCTGAGTGACCCTGGCTGTCACACTCCATCTCTGAGCTGTCCCCTCGCTCCTTGGATAGGAGTGATGATGCTGCAGGGGCACCTGTCTTCTCTTTCTCCCCCTCTCCCAGCCCATCCAACAAGAACCTCTTTGGCCCAGATGTGCTGCTTCTGGTGAAGGTGGAAAAGGAGACAGGAGGCCTGGCAGGCCGCTCACACTCCACTCTCTCCAGGCAGCAGGCGAGCCTGGGGTGAGCCCGTGCTCTTTGCACTCCCTCTGCGGGGCAGGTCATAGCACAGTGCTCTGAGCAGCTGGTCAGGTGAGGGGGCACTGCAGACCGACTCTGGGGGGGTGAGGCATAGACACGGAGATGGACACCGTAGGAGGCCCGACACTGGCCACAGGCTTAACCTGTGTCCCCTCCAGCATGGACTGCTGATTCTTGCCCCCCATGATTCCTATGAGCAGTTGTCAAACTAGGGTGACTGGCTTCTCCTGTTTGCCTGGCACTTTTCCGGTCCCACTTTTTAGGAAAACCTCCCAGTCCCAGGCAGTTGGGATGGTTGGTCACCCTCTTCTCAACTGAGATAAGATTGAGGTGAGGGTGGGGGACCAGGGACAGGACTGGTACTCGGAATCCCCATAAATGCCGGCCTTGGGGTATTACGCTAAAACCATTCAGAAATAAGGCAAGCGGAGTTCCACACCCAGCCTTGGGTTTACAGGAGGGCCTTGAGGAAGGATCCACCCCACACCCAGCCTGCTCTCTCCTTCCCACCCCCGCCCAGGGCCAAGCCCCTACCGCAAGCGACAACAGACAGCCATCTTTATAAGTACATTTTTATTGAAAATAAAAAAGGTGTGGTGCTTTCTTCCTGGTGAGTAGCAGACGGCCCACCCCAACGCCGCTGGTCCTGCTTCCTGTGCAAAGTCTCCGCACAAAACTGACATCAATGGCTCGTCGTGGACAAGATGGCCCGACTTGTATATTTGTCTGTTGAGACAGAACTCCTAGGAACAGGAGCCATCCTCCCGTGTACGCTCGGCACAGCGTCAGGAAGGCAGATCTCGGGATATTCACACTCATGCACTGGGCATCTCATACTGCCTGGGCTGGTTAAATCATACTTTGTACAGATTCAGAGAGTACAGTAATTATGTATATATATATAGATATCTCTTTAAATATATATAACTATATATAATATATGTCTATATTTTTACAGCTATTAGTCTTTCTTCCAAAACTTGCTTTAGAAGCTTCTAAGGAACATCTGAAAACTCTGGGAGATCCTAGATGCCATCCTAAAGTTGGGATCAATTAGGAGACGGGTGAAAATGATCTATTTGAGGAAACGCAGAGAGGGGATGTGCATTTTGTTCTCCACCTTGAGTCCGGACTCCTCTGAGGATTGGTCTGTGTTCAGAGGCTGCGAGTACATTCCTTCAACAGAAGTTCTAAGCTCAAATACCGGGCCAGTGTGGTTTCAGGGACGCTTCTGTCGCTTGCGCTACAAATCCGCTGGGGCTCTCCTGCTGGACCCATGAGAGCTGTCTTCCGAATGCCCGGTTCTGGGTTAGGGTAGTTGTTCTCAAGTGAATTCTTTGTTTAAAAACTGGGCTCTTCTCTCAGTTTTCACTAACTGGGGGAAGAAGATTTTAACTCAATTTAGAGGAATTTATGCACAAAGATTAACTTTTCACTGAGTCCTGGCCGTGTCCCCAGGGAAGGGCATACTGGCCCCAGAGTGTGATGGATGGGTCCCTGGGGCTCCTAGGCAGTGGGGGGGGGGGGGGGGGGGGGGCTCGCCTGGGGCTGGAGGACTAGGCTAATTGCAAAATCTGAGCCTTCTAGGTTTAAGCCAAGGTCGGGGAAGGTAGGACTGGTGCGTTTGTGCAAAGCTGGGCTACGCCCTGTCTTCCTCGATGTCCCTCCAGGCTGGCTGCGCAGCACTCCATGACACTTAGCCAGGATGCCCCTCTGGCCGAAGGTGCCCTCCCCTCACTTCTGAGCCCCAGGGGGCATGTGCTTAGGGCCAGGGACCTGCCCGGGTGTCTACTCAGGGAACAGGCAGGGGACTCAGCAGACTGCAGGCGGAGGGGCAAAGTACACGGGGGTGGGGTCTGGCCTGCTGTGGACCCACACCCTCCAGCCTGTTTGTCACCCACCCACCTGTCGGGAAGTGGAGGGCACCAACCAAGAGTCCCGTAAACTGCTTACCAGGTTGGGGGCAATGCTGAAGGCCACTGACGGCACCGTGCCCTGCTAAGGTGCACAGCGAAAGCAAAACCCAAATCCAAACCAAAACCAAGTCCTCCCACGGAAGGAAAACGAAAAGAAAAGATCCTTTCTGGGAGGGTGTGCCAGGGGCCTGTCCTCAGCCTGTACCCGCTGACCTGGGGGCAGGAGCCGGGTTACAGTCACAGCAAACTCACTGTCTCCTCTCTGCTCTCCGAAAGACAGCGGGACGTACAGAGCTCCATGGGCACAAGGGCTCTGTGACAACGGATGTCTCAGTTCAGCCCGAATGGGGACTGGTTTTCAGTCTGTCAGTCTCACCCTCCAGAGAACTACCCCGGTGGTTTGGGAGGCAGACGGGGGCCTCCTAGCTAAGTTCCTACACAGCCAGGGTGGAACCAGTACGTGCGCCCGGTTCCTTCTGAGCAAGTGTGTGGGTGGTGAGGGAACCATGGGGTCAGGAGTGTTCTTCCGGTCCACTAGGGGATACAAAAGCACACGGCTGCTGTCTCCACGGGCCGAGTGATGTGCCCACAGGGCAGGCGGCCACCTGGGATACTGGCTGGCAGACCTGGGTCACCAGGCCTGGAGGGTCCCCTCCTCCTACCCTTTTCCCTTCCCTTTTCCATTTTAGAACATAAGACCTCGGAAAGGGACATTCAAAGGGAGCCACTGGAAGAATACCACCTCTTTCTGGTGCGGGGAGGCCTGGCTCTCAGCAGAAGGGCCGAGTACCTGGTCAGGGTCTCAGGGGAGTGTCAGGGAGACCCTGCGCCAGGCCGGGTCGGCCCAACCCAGAGCGCCCACAGTGGGTTTGGCACAAGTGGTGGCCTCTGTCAGAGGAGGCAGGGCCTGGCTCACATGGCTGCATTAGTTCCTACAAGGGTCAGGTGTGGGAATGAGTCTGAGAAGAGGCGTGGTGGCCTCTGTCCTTCCTGGGCCCCTGGCCTGGGGTTCAGTGAGTCATTTTGCCCCTGGAAAGCCAGACACTACTCCAGAGTGTAAACGAGCCCCTTTGTCTGTTCATTCAGGGGGTACTTTGCAGGCTGGGCCCATAGCCCTCCGTGGCAGGAAGTCAGGAGTAAGGAGCCAGGGGCCCAGGGTGTTGGTGGAGACAGGAGGGAGAAGGCGGGCCCTGAAGACTGAAGACAATCGCAGATGGGACAATGTACGGATGTGTGGAAGCACCTTTGAAAGGGGACATCTCATGGCTGTGCCGATGGCTTCTGTTGGGAACGGCATGGTCAACAGAGAGGCAGGTGGGCTTTCTGGGGAGGAGGAGGGGTTTTCTGGCGGAGTGGCCCCTGGATCGCCTTTCCTTTGGCTAGAGGGGGTGCCTCCCCACCCAAGCAGACAGACAGACTCCCCGCCTTTGTCAGAGTGCGGGCTGTAGACAGCAGCTGGGAGACAGCGGATCAAACACGAGACAAGGAAGACACGTGGAGCGCCTCGGGCAGAGGCGCTGCGCCGGGGGCTGCATGCAGGTGGCTCAGCCTGGTGTCTGCACTGCCCCTGCCCGCGGGCTGACTGGGGCAACGCTGGGAAGAGGATGGTTTCTCCCTCGGGAGGCTCAAGGCCTGCAAGGCAATGAAGTCCTGGACAAGCCCAGTTTCAGCTCATGTCCACCTGCTTTCCCGTGTCCACTAGCGCCACCAAGGTGCCCCTCTAGCCAGCGGGTCTTGGGCCTGCCAACTCACACCACGGCGCTGTTCACATCCACTCCTTTGCTCTGCGAGGAGGTCATGGGATACTCAGCAACACTGGTGCCGTTCTCCTCTTTTCTTAGTGGTTTCCTGGGAGGGGGTGGAGAGGCCGGGAAGGAAAGGGAAGGGGAGACAGGGACATCCATTAGTTATCAGTGACTGGCAGGAGTTATCATGACTTTCCAGTTAGCCTACCAGGCTCTGTTCTGGGTTAGCATCCTTGGGCTGCTGGTCCTTGGGGTCAATGAGAAGCTCACTGTAGTCTTAACTAGGGTGACCATATAATGTGTCATGAAAACCAGGACACAGTTGAGAGTGAAAGACGGGAGCTATTAATAACGAAGCAGGAAGAACAGGCCTGAATTGGGGCAGTTCTGGACAAACCAGAACGTCTGGTCAGCCTCATATGACGCCTGGTCAGGCTTTGATTGATCCCTTTGATCATGAGCAAACAGACATGAAGATGAATATTTAGGGGTGCAAGTCACTAAAGAGAAGAGGTACTAGTGGTTGGATTTTGCAGTCTTGCCTCTGTGTGCTCAAAGGCAAGGGGAAAATGTGATGAAGTGGACGGTGGTGATGGTGATGCTGGTGGTGATGGTGGTGGTAGTGATGGCGGTAGAGGTGATAACGGTGATGGTGATGAGGGTGGTGGTAGTGATGGCAGGTTGAGGTAGTAGTAATAGTAATGGGGGTGGAGGTAGTGGTGTTGGAGGTGGTAATGGTAGTGGTGATGATGGTGGAGGTGGTTATTGTGGAGTTGATGGTGATGGTGATGATATTGATGGTAATAATGGTGGTGATGGTTGTGTTGATGGTGGCAATGATAACGGTGGTGGAGGCAATGGTGGTGGTGGTGGTGATGATGGTGGAGATGGTGACGGTGGTGGTCATGATGGAGTTGATGGTGGTCATAGTGGTAATGATACTAGTGGTGGTGACGCAGTTGGTGGTGGTAACAATGGTGGTGATGATGATGGTGAATTTGTGCACACTAGTGGTTCTCAAACACTTCCTGTCGAGCCATTTGAAGCTCATTCCAGAGGCCAGTTAATGCCGAGAGACATCCCCCCATGCACACAGGGTCGGGAAGGCTGGGAGGGAGGCTTTGAGAAGGCTGGTGCTCGCTCGCTGAGCTTCTGAACTTGCAGCACGACTTTCTGGCCTGGCACGAAGCCCCCTCCTCTCTTTAGCGGTTCAGGAGGGCTCCGGCCCCCCACCCTAGGCTGTGGCTATAGCCTCCTGATCCAGGCCAAACATGCTCTGTGGCTCTATCCCATCCCACATGCTCCTGTCTCTTGGCGGATCTGAGGCCCATGGGCTGTAAGTCAGACACCTCCTGTGTCCCCAGTACCACTGGGGCTGAGCCTGAACTGGCCTTTCTTGTGTGTTGTCTAAACTGAATGGTTATGGTTGTCATTGAAAGCCCAGTGAGCGATTGCTTCTGCCTTCTCACAGGTCCCTGGAGCCTCCGCAAACCCAGTATGAGAAGTGCTGGTACTTGGTTACTAGTGTGATGCCCATGGGAGAAAGCCCGGCAGGAATTAGTTTTGGGGAGCGAGGGTCTGCAAGGTGGTTATGAGGAGTTTCACGGGGTGAGATTGTCAGGCCTGCTCCGAGATGACACCCCAAGACCGAATCTGTTAACTGTCCCCTTTGCTCTCACAGCAGAAGGAGCTCGCAAAACCCACGACGAATCCCGGATGCCCTCACTCTGGGTGTCGCACCCAGCCACCGTGGCTTCTAGAAATGTGAGATGCAAACCAACACTTCCTCTCACGGCGTAGCATGCTTTCTGCAAAGCACTCTCAGCCACAAATTTTCTTGTCCCCTCTCATAATGGTCCCCTGAAGAAGCCAGGCCTGGAGTTGGGGAAACTGAGGCTCAGGGAGAGCTGTGACTTGCCCAAGGACCTCCAGCTGGTTTGTGGTGGTCCTACCATGTCTTCGCCCAGACATCTTTCTATTAAATCAGCATTCCCAGCAGGCGTTCCCCCCACAATGGGCTCCGTGGCCCGATCAGCTCGGGGAAGGCCTCCCTCACCTCCCTCTTGGAGATTCCCAAAAGTTCTCAAGTCCTCCGAGAAGCCTGTCTCATTTTGCTTTAATCCAGCACATCCCATGTTCTGGGGTCTGAGACCCCCATTTATGTAGATGCTCACAGACTTTCTGGAATCCCCAGGTCTGTAGGGCTCAGATGAGTTGCCTCATTTGTGACAGGCTTGAGGAAATGACAGACTTGGAGCCAACCTCTGCCCCTGGGCATTTTCTCCCTCTTTCTGCTTCATCCCTCCTTGTGTCCCGCTCACACCTTTCCGGGGGCCTCAAGCAGCCCTGACTTTGCTGAGTAGGCTTGATTTCCAACTCAGGGAATTTGCATGGCCTGGAAAATTGGGGAGGGGTGGGGAGTGCTTTTTCTTTTTTTTTCCTGAGGAAGATTTGCCCTGAGCTAACATCTGTGCCAGTCTTCCTTTATTTTGTATGTGGGTCACCACCACAGCATAGCTGCTGATGAGTGGTGTAGGTCCATACCTGGGAACTGAAGCCAGGCCACCGAAGTGGAGTGCACTGAACTTAACCACTAGGCCACAGGGCCTGCTCCAGAGAGCACATGTTTTTACAATGAGACGCTGTGTTCTCCCCACCAGGAGGCCACGGATGCACTTCAGTGAGATTCCTAAATTTATCATCAGTATACGAGAGGGAGAATGGACATCAGAATCAGGATTGCAGAAAATATTAACGGGCAAAAATCTCTGGGCCCAAATGCACACTGCTTTTCACCCTAATAAATATTCCATCTTGGGCTAGATCTGAAAAATCGCCTGCAACAGGTCCAGATCAGAGGTCATGAGGCTTAAGGACCTATGACGGTGGGCAATGAAGAGATGATGCTGGGGCTCTGTAGCTCCCATGGAAAGGGGCAAAGCCTGGAGGGCACAGAGCTCCTGTCCTTTTCAGGGGGAGGGCAAGAAGTCAGCAGCATTCTTTCTCCCAGAAGGAGAGATTTCTAAGGCCAGGCTGCTGGCTGGGACACCCCTTGACATTCTCAGGGCCTTAGAGGAAACGGTGTCTCAGAGGGCCTGGCAGGAAGCAAGCCTGGCTGCAGGGACAGTGGGCACAGGGCAGGAGACAGCCCCAGGGCCTCCTCAATGCCCAGCCAGCTCCCAGGCAGGAAAGGACGAAGGGGGTCTGGGCAGGGGCTCCACCCAGCCAAGAAGGCAACTTTGGCTGGCACAGCCCCCACACAGGAGCATTCCAAGCTTGAGCGTGGCGAGGAGAGGGGGTGGCTGTCCCCAGGGCCCTCCTGAGAAGTGCACTTGGCCGGCTCCCCTCCTCCACCACCGGAGCTGAGTCCCTAACCACTTTGCTCCCTGGGCTGCTGCCCCAACTCACTCCCGAAGCCTTTCCGGGATTCTCTGGAGCCCAGGGGAAGCTGGGGTTTTACCTGCAGCAGAAGACGGCTCTACCTTGCCCCTCCCACTCTGTCCTTTCACTAAGCACAGCGCTTCAGGGTGACTCTATGGAAGAGCTGAGAGGCAGACGTCATAGCTCAGTAAACCCCGGCTCCACTACTTTCTAGCTGTGTGACCTTGGGCAAGCCACTTAACCTCTCCATGCCTCAGTTTCCTGGTCTTTAAAATGGGCTCAACAATGGCTTGTTGGGAGGATTAAATATGTTAATGCCTGTTAAGCACTTAGACGAGCATCTGGCATACAGTAAGTGCTCCATAAATGTTCGTTAGCTCTCAGTACTGCTGTTGGAAAGGTGTCAGCTGGGAGCGGCTCCTGTTGCCAGCAGTAGCCAGCATTCACCAGTCTGCACAGACATCCTACCTAATGTATACCCCACAGGGCTCCAGAAATGCTAGAGGCTTGCCAGGACCCAGCCTAGCATCACTGTGCTGTGAGCCAGCCAAGGCTGGTCTTGCTAAACCAAAGAAAGGCATTTCCGCCCTGTTGCAGGGAGAGATGGCCACAAACGGCTCCTTACACGGCATGGTTCCTACAACCAAGAGAAAGGGAAGTGAGCTTTTCCTTGGCCGTGTCCAGGATTCCTGCCAGTCAGAGTGCGGGTTCTCCCACCTTGAGAGCTCTTCCCCCTGCCCCAGGCCAGGCAGGCAGCAGGCGCTCCACACTCTCTGCTCGGAGTGCTGAGCTGACAGCCCCGGCCGCACACGCCAGCAGTCACGGGCCTCTGCAGAAGCTGCCTCCACTGGCATGTCCGGCCTGGGCAGGGAGGGCCAGGACCCAGGTGCCCCTCTTGGGCCCCACTGACAGCGATGAGTCAGGTCCTATCCTCAGCCTGCTGCCCTGCTGGGGAGGCTGGAGGCAAAGAGCGGCTCAGAGGATCCTGAGAAGGGAGCACTGCCCAGCTCGCTGCTTGTCTCATGCTCCCCGCTGCCCACCCTCGACACAGACACACACACCACACACACACAAACACATACGCACATACACACACGCATATATATGCACACATACACACACACGCCCATACACACACACAGCTCCACAATGGGATGCCTCTGTAGACTGCAGACTTCTCCAAACCTGGGTCAAGAAGCCAAAAAAGTCTTTCTGAGCCACCGAGGGTCACTGACCGTGAAAGCAGCAGCCCCGTTTCCAGCCCTGCACACCTCTTGCTCCATCACCCACGTGGAGGCGAGTCGGGTGTGTGGCTGATGGACATCCTCACAGGCCAATGGAGCCAACTGTTTCGACCGTCTCCCCGGGGCTTACTTGTTCAGCCTCCTCTGCTGAGCACGTTGAAGGTCGGCGCCTGCGAGTCTCACAGGCTGTGTTCTCCCCTAGGACCCGCTGGCAGGGGAAGTCGTCTGCATCTTATTCTGAGAGCCATCTGAGCACTCCTTAAGTCGGGGATTCCTTTCTATCCCCTTGCCCTGCCCCATGACCTTGACCTAGCGTGTCTGGAGAGATGAGATCAGAGAAGGATGGAGCTTCTTGGTAACCAAAGAAAAAGGCCCCACGAAGCAGGCCCCTGTTTGGGTCTCCCATCCGCCGGCACTGAGCACACTCTCAATCTGCCGGCCTTTCTGTCAGTGACTGGCCTGCGGTGCGTGTGGCCTG